TTTGAGACAGAGTTTCACTCTTGTTACCCAGGCTGGAGTGCAATGGCGTGATCTCGGCTCACCGCAACCTCTGCCTCCTGGGTTCAAGCAGTTCTCCTGCCTCAGCCTCCCAAGTAGCTGGGACTACAGGCGTGCGCCACCATGCCCAGCTAATTTTTGTATTTTTAGTAGAGATGGGGTTTCACCATGTTGACCAGGATGGTCTTGATCTCTTGAACTCGTGACCCTCCCGCCTCGGCCTCCCAAAGTGCTGGGATTATAGGGATTATAGGCGTGAGCCACCGCACCCGGCCGGTTTCCAACTCTTGACCTCAAGTTATCCACCAGCCTCAGCCACCCAAAGTGTCAGGATTATAGGTGTGAACCGTCGTGCCCGGCCACATTTTAAGTTCTTAAAATAGAATCAGTCTTTTATAAATCATTTTGATCACTTGACATGATAATTTTTAATGTGAAAAGTTGTTACTAAATTGGTGGTTTGTCTTTCAAGATGTTATTTTAGAATCAGGGCATTAAGGATATATGAGGATCTCATTTAATCCTCACAGCATCCCCATTTTACAGTTGAAAAGTTAATAAATTGATGGTTTGTCTTTCAATAGATGTTATTTTACAATCGGGGCAGCAAAGTCATTTATCAGACTAGTGCTAGATACTCCACATAGTTTATTTCATTTAAACCTCACAACATCCCCATTTTACAAGTGAGAAAGATTTAGTTTTAGATTAAATGCTGCTAGATTACTCACTAGTGGAACAATAAGAAATTAAACTTCAAATCCAGTGTGCTTTTCAAACTTCTGTTCATAAATTAGAGAACACCTCTGGAAAGTCTTATAGCTTAAGACTGAATACTTTAATTAATACAAGTGATAGTGATAACTCATTTCATGTAAATGTTTCTGATAGTTGGGTATGTCTTTTCATACAGGAGAGTAAGTATAAGAATGACCATTGAACTACAATCAGTTTCTAATCCAGTTCACAGAAAGGTTGGTATTTAGTTCTTTTTTGAAATATCATTTTGGTGTAATTATTTTTGTTAAGAATGTGAGATATTTTATTGTATTCATTTTGCTTTTTAATTTTGGGCTATTTTGTAACTTGCAAATCAAGGTTGGTAGAGGCTACTGAGACAACAACTGAAAGATAATTATACCATATATTTCTTTCTTTTTTCTTTTTTTTTTTTTTTTTTTGAGACAGAGTCTCACTCTGTCACCAGGCAGATTGCAGTGGTGCAATCTCAGCTCACTGCAACCTCCGCTTCCTGGATTCGAGCAATTCTCTTGCCTGTACTTCCTCAGTAGCTGGGACTACAGGCACGTGCCACCACACCCAGCTAATTTTTGTATTTATAGTAGAGACGGGGTTTCTCCATGTGGCCAGGATGGCCTTGATCTCTTGACCTTGTGATCTGCCTGCCTTGGCCTCCTAAAGTGCCGGGATTACAGGTGTGAGCCACTGTACCTGGCCTATACCATATGTTTCTAAAACATACAAGAATTAGATTTGCCTAGTGCACTTAAGTTGCTGGAAAATACACACAGATGCATACACACACGCACACACACGCATACACACAGCTGCCTTATAGAATTGGCATTTTATAGTGTACATGTAAAAAGATAAACTGAAGTACTGTAAGGAGATATTTGTGAATCTTTTACTTTACATTTTGAAGAAAGGCATTTAGAGTATTAGTCTCATAAAACCTTCAGAAGTATGAGTCATTAACAGAACTAAGGATATAGAATAGAGCAGGGGTCCCCAACCCCCTGGCCACTTACTGGTATGGTCCCTGGCCTGTTAGGAGCTAGGCTGTACAGCAGGAGGTGAGTGGTAGGCAGGTGAGCAAGCCTTACCTTCTATGATCTGCCTCCTGTCAGATCAGTGGTGACATTAGAGTCTCATGGGAGTGCAAACCCTATTGTGAACTGCACATGCAAGGGATCTCAGTTGCATGCTTCTTATTATAATCTAATGCCTGATCTGAGGTGGAAGTTTCATCCTGAAACCATCCTTCACCCCCCAATTCTTGGAAATCATCTTCTACACAATAGTTCTCTAGTGCCAAAAAGATTGGGGACCATTCAAACAGAGGACTAATAAATATAACATCTGTGCCAAGCACAGTGGCTCACATCTGTAATCCCAGCACTTTGGGTGGCTGAGGTAGGCAGATTGCTTGAGGCAGGAGTTTGAGACCAGTGTGGGCAACATGGTGAAATCCCATCTCTACAAAAAAAAAAAAAAAAAAAAAAAAAAAAAAAAAAAAAAAAAAAAAAAAAAAAAAATATATATATATATATATATATATATGTGTGTGTGTGTATATATATATGTGTGTGTGTATATATATATATACACACACACACACACACACGTATACACACACACACACACAAATCAGCTGAACATGGTGGCATACTCCTGTAGTTCCAGCTACTTGAGAGGCTGAGGTGGGAGGATCACTTGAGCTTAGGAGTTTGAGGCTTCAGTGAGCTGTGATGGTGCCACTGCAATCCAGACTGGGCAACAGTGCGAGACCCCATGTCGAAAGAAACACCAAAATATAGCATCTGTTTTCTGTGTGCCATAACTTTCCCTGAACACATTCAAGGACCTAATGGTATTAGTGGTACCTTTGGTTTTTTAAGTAGCATCCTGAGTGAATATCAGGAGGTACTTAAATGGAAGCTACTTAAGAATAAGGCATTCTGAGGCAGATCAGGTGCCTGAATTGCTAATTTTCTGGAGTAAAGATTATAAATTGTACTTTTTACATGTTATTCCTTATGCCTGCTATACCTCTTAATTTTCTAGCTTTGTGCATAAGTGATTTAGATTTTTCTAGGACAGCATTTCCTAAGTTGCCGTGAGTAGAGATTTTATTTCAAATGTCTTAAGCTTAACGTCTAGTTCTTTATTAGTTTTATATCATCTTGTAAGTAATGCTGTTTTTCTTTCACCAATGTTATCTGGTACATAATTTCGGCATACGTTTTGTGAACTTAAGCTGTTATGATGATCTCCCACACTGTGTACACTTAGCTACCTGGAAAGTGGTCTTTGTGAAAGGTACCTACTTAATTTGAGACTGAAAACAGATGGGGTTCCACATCAGTGGCCACCTGGCCTAGGAGTGAATAGGCCCTTTAGAAGAGGCCTGGCAGCGTGTCACCTGATACCCCTGTCCTCTATCTCAGAGACAGAAGCTCCCTTTTGTCTGGTGTGGATTATTTTTTGTCAGTTCTGCTGATACATTTGCCACTTTTAAAATGCCAGACCAGTTAATTTTAAGGGAAACTAAAAATTGATGTGGTATGTTCAGTGGTAAAGAAAATTTTCATTATCATGTTATGGTGTAGCAAGGACTGGGTCTAAATTTTCCCAAGCCTCTGATAGGATCATATTCCTAAACTTCAACTCCTAGCGCTTACTTAACTTCAGACCTCCATGTAGTTCTCAAAGAACATTATGTCTACCCCTATTTAAGATTCTAACTCTCTAAAGACTAATAAGAAACCAGCAGCACTACAAAACAGCTGTCTGCAATCTAACTATGATACATTGATGTTATTGGATCTTTTTACTTTTGAGAAGGAAGAAATTACTCAAAAAGTAATTTTGAGTAATTTATTCTTACTCAAAAAGTAATCTAGTAAAAACATTTAAAAACAACAAACTTTCTTTTAGGACTTAGTTATTCGTCTGACTGATGACACGGATCCATTTTTTTTATATAACCTTGTTATATCTGAGGAAGATTTTCAAAGGTAACTAAATTTTTTTCTGATCTTATATTTAATAAAAGAATAAGTTTCTGAGTTTTATGAATGTATTGGTACTGTTCTCTCAAACACATACTATGTATTGGATTTAGTTACTTTGGGAATATTGGGCTATTTGTACTATATTTACTTAGGGTGTTTTGGAAAATAAATATTTTGTGGGTTATTAGAATTATGCTTAAAAAACCTGAGAAGTTTGCAGTTTTTGCTGAATTTCTTGATCTTTTTTCCTGCCATTGAATAAGTTGTAAAAAAATCAGAGTTCCTTATCTTAATTCTTGATTATAACAAGTGTTAGTAAATTTTAAAAAAGAATCTTTCAGGATGCTAATTATAATCAAAGATAGTAATTGGCTGGGCTTGGTGGCTCAAGCCTGTAATCCCAGCACTTTGGGAGGCTGAGGCAGGTGGATCATGAGGTCAGGAGTCCAGGACCAGCCTGACCAACATGGTGAAACCCTGTCTCTACTGAAAATACAAAAATTAGCCAGGTGTGGTGGTGCGCACCTATAATCTCAGCTACTCAGGAGGCTGTGGCAGGAGAATTGCTTGAACCTGGGAGGTGGAGGTTGCAGTGAGCAAGATCTCACCACTGCACTCCAGCCTGGGAGACAGAGCAAGACTCTGTCTCAAAAAAAAAAAAAAAAAGATAGCAATCAAATTTTTAAAAAATTTCTTTTCCTTTCTTCTGTATAGTTTAAAATTCCAGCAAGGTCTTCTGGTAGACTTCTTAGCTTTCCCACAAAAATTTATAGATCTCCTTCAGCAGTGTACTCAAGAACATGCCAAAGAAATTCCAAGGTAAGTTGCATGAGAACACTACATTGTTACATTTAATTCAAGACAGACTCTTCTTTGAAACACAAGTTGACAGCAAAATCTTTTCCATTTGTATGAGTATCCCTGTTTATTTTTAGAACTGGGGTTAGAGCTCCATTAAATCTCAGATTTTAAGGAATCTTGATTAAAATCAGAACTATTGCTTAATTTCCATGTCTTGACAAAGGCACTGAAAGTTATCTGAAGTATTTAATAGCATCAAGTATTTGTTTTATAATCTTGGAAAAAGGGAAGACTAAGATTTTATGTGTGTGTGGTGCTAGCACCTGATTCTTTTATTGTGAAGTTCACCATCAACCTTTTATTTATTGGTTTCATCAGTTGATGATTGTTGTTGAATCAGTTATTTCATTAGAAAGAACAAAATGATGCTTTTCTGTCATTTTTTTCTATATTAAGTATAATTCTTCTATAAAGAACTTTTCCTCAGCGATTAGGGCTATTTGATTACTCAGAAAATTCATACAGAAATGATAAATGCTTAATTCTTACATTTAAATTGTCATTTTTTAGAGTAAAGAGCTGGTAGGCTACTTCTGTGGTACTCAGTGATTTTTGTTTTTAGTTTTTGCTTTTTCTCTCATTTGTTCCTCATGAACTCATGGACTTTTATATAGTAACTATGGATTCAGTGAATCTTTTCTTTTTTTTTTTTGCCCAATTTATCTTATACTTTACCATTTGGAGTCCTTTCATCTTGGCCCCTATGATTTCAGTATGCTCCCTTGCCTGATCTTTCTGAGTAGAGAAGCTTTGATTCAATGAGAGATTTTCACTATCTCCTAATGTGTTATAATGTGACTTTTTTTTTTTTTTTCAAAGGTTTTTGCTACAGTTAGTTTCTCCAGCAGCTATTTTGGATAACTCACCTGCATTTTTAAATGTGGTAGAGACAAATCCTTTTAAGCATCTTACACACCTCTCACTAAAACTTTTACCTGGAAATGATGTGGAGATAAAGAAATTTCTAGCAGGCTGTTTGAAATGTAGCAAGGTAAGATTTAAATTTAAGTTATTCTTTTAATAAAGTAAGTATCAATGGTCTTTGATAAATTATTGAAGATATACAATGCCATAAATTTTTGTTTTTTAAATAAAGTTTTATCACATTAAGGAATTTATTGTTTTTTATTTAGTCAAGGTATAGTGGGGATGGATCTGGACTAGGAATTGAGAAGCTTAGGTCCCAGGGTTTTTATGTGTGACTTTGGACAGGTCACTTAAACTGTTCTGTCGTGGTTTCATCAACTGGTAGACATGTATGGAAATAGCTTCCCTATCTAGCCCATCTTAAATGAGATAAGATAAATGGAAATGTCTTGAAAATTACAAAATGCTATATGGCACAAGGAAACAACATAGGGATGCTGCTTGAGTTTTTAGAGACTTTCTAGTCAAATGCTATAGATCGGTGCATCTAGAACTTTAAATTATCTGGGGATCTTGTTAAAATGATTTAGGTCTGAGATAGAGCCTGAGAATCTGCATTTCTAATGGGCTTGCAGGATGATGCTATACTTCGAGTAGCATGGCTACAGATTACAATGAAAACTAATTTTGTTATTTTTATGAATAGGAAGAAAAATTATCATTGACGCAATCACTAGATGATGTTACTAGGCAACTGGACTTTACACAAAAGGTAATTCCAATTTCATTTTGTCTTTGTAAGTCATCCAGACATTGGCATTGAATTGCTTCTTGACTCAGTTCCAAGCTTTTATGTATTTTCTTTCAAAGCATGGTTCCATTGAATTTCCTCTCCTCTTTGCCACCTTTCATCTACCACTCAATTATCTTAATCTGATGCTTTCTCTTGCACATGTTTATTTACACAAACATTTCTGTATTCCTAATATATAACATGTTCCCCCAAGTCTTCATTAAATAAGATAGGTATTTTTCTGTCACATATTAGTTCTCCACTCCCCACTTACTCACCTTATTCCTCTGGCCTAAATGGCTTTTTGGTTCCCATCTTCTAAACCTTTCTCTTTCTTTGCTATGTTTAGAATTAATTCCTCTGATAGGCTTAGCATCATCTCAGTGATAGCTACCACATTTCTTCCCTAGTCTATGAAATTGAAGGCCAAAGTATCTGTTTTAGCTTGTTCTTGCTTTGCTTTAAAGAAATATCTGAAGCTGGGTAATTTATAAAGAGATTTAATTGGCTCATAGTTCTGTAGGCTGTACAAGCATGGCACCAACATCTGCTTGGCTTCTAGTGGGGGCCTGAGGAAGGTTACAATCATGGCTGAAGGTGAAGGAGAGTAGGCATGTCACATGGTTAGAGTGGGAGGGAGGAGGTACCACATGCATTTAAACAACCAGATCTCATGTGAACTAACGGAGTAAGAACTCACTTAGCACCAAGGGAATGGCACTAAATCATTCATGAGGGACTGCTCACATGATCCAGTCACTTTCCACAGGCCCTGCTTCCAATGTTGGGGATTACATTTGAACATGAGACTTGGAGGGGACAGACATCCTAACCATATCGGTATCTGATAGTCTGCATGACCTCAGGCAGAAAATAGCCCTGTACAATGTGGCCCACAGGGCCATGTTAATTGGGTTTTATGTATAAGTGAACTATTCCTTATAATCGACTTGCTTTCCCCTACCTCTCTTTATTGGGTGGTAAAGAGCAAGATTTAATTAAAACCTTAAAGATAGTTAATCTTGACCTGTGGGCCTTTTTGGGTCTAAGATTGCTTTTATTCTAATGTTGATTTTATGAAATTCAAAAATTTTGTGTAGGAAAAGGCTTTGAATATGTCCCGAAAAGCTATAGTTTTGTTTAATATCCTTGTAAATATTGCTATATTCTAATAAGAAGTATTACATATGAAGGAGACTATCTTAATATTTTGTGTTAAACTTTAATGTAGATATTAACAGAAAAAAACCAAGAATTGGATAAGTTACGGAATGAATGGGCATCACACACAGCAGCCTTGACAAACAAGCATTCTCAGGAACTGACAAATGAAAAGGAAAAAGCCTTGCAGGTAACTGAAAAAATATTTTTTATTGCTGTTGGTCATTTTGTTAATTTTAAAAGTAATATGGGCTTACTTTAAATTTTCTAAACATTACAGAAGTATATAAAATAAATATCAAAATTCTCTTTCAAAGTCTTACTACCTAGAGATAATCTAGAAACATTTTATTTTTTTCAGACTTTTCTCTATGTATATATAAATAATAAGTAGTTTATAAATATTTGTTTATAAACTTATAACTCTGTAAATTATGTAATTTACTCTATATATGTACCCATATAATGGGTTTTTGGTTTTGTTCTGTACTAATGGGGTCTTATTGGATATATTGGTTGTAACTTTTTCTTCACTTAATGTAGTATCATTCTATATCAGTTAAGATATTCCTTTTCAGTGGCTGCAGAGTATTCATTTTTTGGGTTTAACTTAATTTACTTAACTCCTTGCCCAAATGGTCATTTAAATGCTTCAAAATTTTGGTTATTTTAAGCAGTACTGCAACAAGCACTCTTAGTATCTAGAAGTGAACCTACAACATATCCATATAAAATATTGATGGATACTGCAAATTTGCCAACCAAAAAGGTTGAACCAAATGGAATCCCAACGATAAGATAGTGTATAAGGGTACTTATTTCCCTATATTCTTGACATTGTTTTTAACCTTCTTAATTCTTAATATTTACCATTGATCTTAAGGTAGTCCTAGTTTCAGTTTATATTTCTTATATTTTTAGTGACAATAAGCATCTTTTAATATAACTTTTTTCATTTTTATTCTATGGATATGTTTTATTGTCTTTTCTTCCCTTTTTCTATGTGATTGTTATTTTCTACTGCTTTGTAGTATGATTTTCTTTTTTATCTTCATATTATAGCTTCCTTTTTTTTTTTTTTTTTTTTTTTTTTTTTTTTTTTTTTTTTTTTTTTTTTTTTTTTTTTTTTTTTTTTT